ATAGTTACCCATTCTCCTTTTAAACTACTCAAATAATTACGTCATTTTAATGACTGCGTATCCCCGTATCCCCGTATCATTGAAAAATAATAGTTACCCATTCTCCTCTTAAACTACTCGAATAATTACGTCATTTTAGTTACTGCGTATCCCCGTATCCCCGTATCATTGAAAAATAACAGTTACCCATTCTCCTCTTAAACTACTCGAATAATTACGTCATTTTAATGACTGCGTATCCCCGTATCCCCGTATCATTGAAAAATAATAGTTACCCATTCTCCTTTTAAACTACTCGAATAATTACGTCATTTTAATGACTGCGTATCCCCGTATCCCCGTATCATTAAAAAATAGTAGTTACCCGCGGCATTCTCCTCTTAAAACCTCTTAAACTACTCGAATAATTACGTCATTTTAATGACTGCGTATCCCCGTATCCCCTTATCATTGAAAAATAATAGTTACCCATTCTCCTCTTAAACTACTCAAATAATTACGTCATTTTAATGACTGCGTATCCCCGTATCCCCGTATCATTGAAAAATAATAGTTACCCATTCTCCTTTTAAACTACTCAAATAATTACGTCATTTTAATGACTGCGTATCCCCGTATCGTTGAAAAATAATAGTTACCCATTCCCCTTTTAAACTACTCCAATAATTACGTCATTTTAATGACTGCGTATCCCCGTATCCCCGTATCATTGAAAAACGATAGTTACCCATTCTCCTTTTAAACTACTCAAATAATTACGTCATTTTAATGACTGCGTATCCCCGTATCATTGAAAAATAATAGTTACCCATTCTCCTTTTAAACTACTCGAATAATTACGTCATTTTAATGACTGCGTATCCCCGTATCCCCGTATCATTGAAAAATAATAGTTACCCATTCTCCTCTTAAACTACTCGAATAATTACGTCATTTTAATGACTGCGTATCCCCGTATCCCCCAAAAGCAAACACTATCAAAATTCAGAAGTGGCCGGGTATTCTATAATCGCTCCCTCACATGTAAAAATTTATCGCCTTTTCAATTATCGCTTTTCTGTGAACATTATCGCTTTTCATTTAAGACTGTCCTTTATATAATGAACAGAAAAATACATGGGTGGTTGGAAATACCAGATTTATTTTTTGTGTTGAACATGACATCTCACTCGTTCGCTGCGCTCACTTGTTCGCTGCACACTCATGTTCAACACTCAAATAAATCTGGTATTTCGTGCACCCATGTATTATTCTCTATTTAAACTACAGCTAGACTGGTTTAAATTATTATCAATTTATCAGTGATTGTAAAAGTTGGAGATAGAAGTGTTTTGTTTTATAAAATTATCAAGTTGTCGGTGATCGCAAAACCTCCAACTCCTTAATTTCAAATGTTAGAATGTTAGGGTTAGAATGTTAGGGTTTGTAATATATACATTTTAAGTGAGAATATATACATTTTAAGACCTAACCAGGAACGACTGCGAAAAATGCAGCACAAGGTCCTATGGAAGGAAGTGAACCTACGGCTCTGTGATTCCGGTGCAGCGCAGGCCAGAGGCCAGCTGTTGAGCTTTAACCGTAAGTTCATGTATATTTAAGTAATCGGGTGTGCGGGTTATGATAAGGTGGACTTCAATAATTTGGATTCTTGCACTTCACTTGGTGGACTTAATATTAGAATGTTAGGGTTTGTAATCCAAGCGAGAATATATACATTTTCAGACCTAACCAGGAACGACTGCGAAAAATGCAGCACAAGGTCCTCTGGTAGGAATTGAACCTACTGCCCTGCGATTCCGGTGCAGGGCTCTAACCAACTGAGCTACAGAGGCCAGCTGTTGAGCTTTAACCGTAAGTTCATGTATATTTAAGTAATCGGGTGTGCGGGTTATAAGGTGGACTTCAATAATTTGGATTCTTGCACTTCACTTGGTGGACTTAATATTAGAATGTTAGGGTTTGTAATCCAAGTGAGAAAATATACATTTTAAGACCTAACCAGGATCGACTGCGAAAAATGCAGCACAAGGTCCTCTGGTAGGAATTGAACCTACGGCCCTGCGATTCCGGTGCAGCGCTCTAACCAACTGAGCTACAGAGGCCAGCCGTTGAGCT